GCCCGAGGCATGGTGAGCATGTTTGATAGGAGTGAATGGAGACAAATGGTTTTTAATACTTGACGTGCTGTTGGAGTGTGAGCAAAGTAACATTTATGAAGGGATTCAGGGAAACCGGCAGGCCGGACTTGAGTCCTGGAGATGGGAAGTACAGTGCCTGCACTCTGAAGGAGGGGTGTTAATGTTGCAGTTTAAAAACTGTAGTGTAAAGCACCCTTCTGGCAAGACAGTGATGGAGTGAATGATGGTGAAAGTTTTTCTTTTTCGGGCCACCCTGCCTTGGTGGGAATCGGCCAGTGTGATAATAATAAAAATAATAAAGAATTGGAGTTGGGAAGGGCAGTGCTTGCACTCAGTAGAAGAGATTGGGAAATTGCAGTTGAAGGTAATGTGAATTGTGATGTCAGCACATTTTTGGAAAGACAGTGATTGAGTGAATGATGGTGACTTTTCTTCTTTGGACCACCCTGCCTTTGTGGGAAATGGCTGTTGAATTTAAAAGTCTCTTAATGCCCCATTTTATTCTGCTAAATTCTTTCCTCCTTTTGTTTGGGCCACCTTAGCTCAGTGGGAAATGGCTGTTGTAATATGAAAAATCATTCTTAATAGTTTTATTATATCCAAGAGCATCACGTGTTTAGTGTAAGTCAGTGGCAATATTTTCAACAGAATGAAAATATGAACAAAAAAGGTCAGCGTTTACCAAAGAAGGGTGAAGTCGAGATGCTTTGTGGTGGTCCTCCATGCCAAGGATTTTCTGGAATGAACAGGTTCAGTACCAGACAATATTCTCAGTTCAAGGTTAGTTGTGCAAGTTACTTTTTTTTTTTTTTTTTTTTTCTAAATTCTGTTTGTACTACAGCATTGCCATTTCTGTTAGAGAAAAAGTTGAAATAAGTATTGTATATAAATTGCATTAATTTACAATTAAAAAATAACATGCATTACAGAACTCCCTTGTAGCATCGTATCTCTCCTACTGTGATTACTACCGTCCAAGATTTTTCCTGCTTGAGAATGTGAGGAACTTCGTGTCATATAAGTGTAACATGGTCCTCAAACTAACTATGCGAGTTTTAGTGAAGATGGGTTACCAGTGTACATTTGGAATCCTTCAAGCAGGAAACTATGGAGTGGCACAGACCCGTAGAAGGTAGGCGATCCCAAGAATGTGTGCATGTGGTACCTGGAGGGTGTTCCAGGAATCAGTGCCCCTGTGACCCAGTCCATGACCAGGCTGGTTGAACATTTCTTCATGATAGTCTGTCTCCCTTTAATGCCCTGGTTTACGGCAACATTGCAGTGTTGAATATTAAAAAACCTAGGCAGTTAAAATTTTGGTACATTACATATTACAGAAAGGCTGGACTAATAATTTTTTTAGGCTTTCTTGAATATCTCCTGTTCACTCACTTGTAGTACAGTGCTGTAGTGGAAAGTCTGGTCAAAATTTTGTGCACTAGAAGATTTACTAAATTACCTCTAAAATACAGTTGTGTGTTATTGCATAAATTGTGGAATACTGTTTTTACTAAAGTATTTTCTCATATATATTTCAATATTATATGTACCTTACATGTTTAGCATCTCCCAATGAATATGATACTATAGTGGGGCGTTGAGGTATACGTGGAGACAAAGAACGTTATCTATGGAGGCAAAGATGGGAATGTATGAAAGTATAGTGGTACCAACACTTACATGGGTGTGAAGCTTGGGTTGTAAATGCTGCAGCGAGGAGGCGGTTGGAGGCAGAGGAGATGTCCTGTCTAAGGGCAATGTGTGGTGTAAATATTATGCAGAAAATTCGGAGTGTAGAAATTAGGAGAAGGTGTGGAGTTAATAAAAGTATTAGTCAGAGGGCTGAAGAGGGGTTGTTGAGGTGGTTTGGTCATTTAGAGAGAATGGATCAAAGTAGAATGACATGGAGAGCTTATAAATCTGTAGGGGAAGGAAGGCTGGGTAGGGGTTGTCCTCGAAAGGGTTGAAGGGAGGGGGTAAAGGAGGTTTTGTGGGCGAGGGGCTTGGACTTCCAGCAAGCGTGCGTGAGCGTGTTAGATAGGAGTGAATGGAGACGAATGGTATTTGAGACCTGACGAGCTGTTGGAGTGTGAGCAGGGTAATATTTAGTGAAGGGATTCAGGGAAACTGGTTATTTTATATAGCTGGACTTGAGTCCTGGAAATGGGAAGCACAATGCCTGCACTTTAAAGGAGGGGTTTGGGATATTGGCAGTTTGGAGGGATATGTTGTGTATCTCTATACGTATATACTTCTAGACTGTTTTATTCTGAGCACCTCTGCAAAAATAGTGATTATGTGCGAGTGAGGTGATAGTGTTGAATGATGATGAAAGTATTTTCTTCTTGGGGATTTTCTTTCTTTTTGGGTCACCCTGCCTCGGTGGGAGATGGCCGACTTGCAAAAAAAAAAAAAAAGTAATTTAAAATATTATATAGTTTATCAAGTTTTATTTTTCTCACTTCAGTCCTTTGTTTTGGGAATTTTGAAGGTGAGAGGTACACTGATGCCAGTGAAAGGCTCTTGGTTCAAGGAACTGACCCATACTGGTTGAGCACTAATCATGAATATATATGCACCTACCATCCGACTTACGACCGATCTCGGTTCCGAGAGACCGGTCGTAAATCGAAATGATCATAAGTCGAACTTTACTACTGAATATCAACAAAACATTTTTGTAATGACTATTTTATTGTTTTATTTTGGTATTTCATGTTTTACTTTACTTTTTATGTTGCTAGTACTGTACAGTGGTCCCTCGTTTTTCGTAATTAATCCATTCCTGGAGCCGTTACTATAAACGAAATTTACGATTTACGAATCAATTTTCCCCATAAGAAATAATGTAAATACAATTAATCCGTTCCTGACACCCAGAAGTATTAAAACTAAAAATTTTTTACATGAAATATACATGTAGTACATAATACAATGGGAAATGATGAATGAAACATTAACAGCATAACACTTACCTTTATTGGAGATTCTTCTTAGTGTATGGGAGACTGGAGGAGGAGAGAGAGTGGATTGTTTATAGTTTGGAAGGGGAATCCCCCTCCATCAACACCTCAGGTACCATTTTCTTTTCTGGGGTTGCTTCTCTTCTCTGTTTCTTAATGCCACTAGGACCACCTTGAGAGTCACTGGAGTCCTGTCTCGCAAAATAACTGTGGAGAGAGCTCTGTTTCTGGCGTCTCTTTAACACTTACCTAAAATGGCCCTAGACTTTGTCACTGTACATGTTGCCAACCTGGCTTGCAACAACCTTGTTAGGGTGATGTTTCTCCATAAAGCTTTCCATCTTACCCCACATAGTAAAAATCTCTTTAATTTCTGAAGAAGGCACCTTCTTCCATCTCTCTTCCTCCTCCTCTGCAGCAAGGTTCTGAGCTGTGATGTGTTGCTCTTCCTGTTGAAGCTCTTGCAGCTCCTCAGTGGTGAGCTCTTCATTGTGATCTTCCACCAATTCTTCCACATCCTCCAAACTCACATCCAACCCCATGGAACTCCCCAGTGCCACAATTGATTTTACAACAGACATAGGCTCATTAGGGTCAGTCCCAAATCCTTCAAAATCCCTCTTGTCGACACAATCTGGCCACAATTTTCTCCAGGTAGAGTTCAAAGTCCTGGTAGTCACTCCCTCCCAAGCCATACCTCTAAGGGTTATGCAATGGAGGATGCTGAAGTGTTCTCTCCAAAATTCCTTTAGGGTCAAGTGAGTGTCTGTGGTCACAGTCAAGCACCTATGAAACATTGCTTTTGTGTAGAGTTTCTTAAAGTTTGCAGTAACCTGCTGGTACATGGGTTGGAGGAGAGGAGAGGAGTGGTATTCGGGGGCAAGAACTTTGCTGTGATGAACCCAAACTCCTCGAAAATTAGGTTATCCAAGTTTGGAGGATGAGCAGGTGCATTTTCCATTACTAGCAGGCACTTGAGATCCAATTTCTTTTCCAGGAGATACTCCTTCACACTAGGGCCAAACACTTCATTGAACCACTCAACGAAAATTTCCCTCGTGACCCATGCCTTACTATTAGATTTCCAAAACACACACAATTTACTCTTCATAACATTGTTTTTCCTGAAAACACTGGGATTTTCAGAATGGTACACTAGTAATGGCTTCACTCTGAAATCCCCACTAGCATTAGCACAGAACATTAGCGTCAGCCTGTCTTTCATAGGCTTGTGTCCTGGCATTGCCTTTTCCTCTTGTGTAATGAAGGTCCTCTTTGGCATTTTCTTCCAAAAGAGGCCTGTTTCGTCACAATTGAACACTTGTTCAGGTTTCAGTCCTTCAGCCTCTATGTACTGGAATTCATGCACATATTTTTCAGCCGCTTTGTTGTCTGAACTGGCAGCCTCACCATGCCTTACCACACTGTGTATGCCAGTATGGTTCTTAAATCTCTCAAACCAGCCTTTGCTGGCCTTAACCCTTTGAGGGTTTTCGTCGTACTAGTACGTCTTACGCGTAGGGGTTTTTGACGTACTAGTACTCATAAATTCTAGCGACCTCAAATCTAGTGGGAGAAAGCTGGTAGGCCTTCATATGAAAGAATGGGTCTATGTGGTCAGTGTGCACAGTCTAAAAAAAATCCTGCAGCACACGGTGCATAATGAGAAAAAAAAACTTTTTCCATTTTTTTTTAATAAATCAGCGACTTTGCAGTGTATTTTCGTATAGTATTTATTGTTGTATTCTAGTTTTCTTGGTCTCATTTTATAGAATGGAAGACATATTACTGAAATTGAGATGATTTTGACTGGTTTTACAATGAAAGGTGCCTTGAAATTGAGCTCAAAGTAGCAGAAATGTTCGATTTTTACCAAACTTCAAAAGTAAACAAATCGTGCCAAGCGTGCAATACACGTCAACTGGTGAGTCTAATATTCTTTCACAAGTGCACCAATAATATTTATACCATTTTTTACACTAATGCAGTAGTCTGCATAACAGTAAATCTTATATTTTTTGTGAGAATAAAAATTCAAAGTGGAAAGCAAAAGAATATAAGAGGGGCCTTGAGACGTGACTAATGACTAGAGGAAATGTCATTTTAGTGCCAGGAATGTCTTTCTTGTTTATTCTGGACCCTATTCCGAAATTGGCATCTTTTGAAATTTGTGTGAAATTGGCAAAATTGCTAAATTCTGACCACTGTACTGGATAGTTGAATTTATAAATGGGTGGTTTCTTGCACCCATTCGATAGAAAAAATGGAGTTCTAGCGAAATAATCATGTTTTTTGTCGACTAGTACAGTGAAATTGGCCGAAAATGGGGCCAAAGTGGGCAAAATCGCCGATCCGTAAACATCGCCGAGACCGCTAACTTTGCGAGAGCATAATTCCGTAAGTTTTCTATCAAATTTCAAACTTTTGGTGTCGTTATGATCGGGAAAAGATTCTCTATCTTTTCATAAGAGAAAATAATTTTTTTTTTTTTAAATTTGGCCGACCCTGAGAACGAGTTTCGGAGAGGGCCTGTCGACCCTCAAAGGGTTAAATTCACTCACATCACCACTATTTGCAGGCAATTTCTTTACCAAATCTTCATGCAACTGCCTAGCCTTTTCACAAATAATCGAAGTCATAAGAGTATCTCCTGCTAATTGTTTCTCATTTATCCACACCAATAATAACTTCTCAACCTCTTCCAGTACTGGTGATCTCATTTTTGTCAGCATAGTTAATCCCTTTGCAACAACAGCGTCCTTTATTTCCTTTTTCTTGGCCACTATGGAACATAAGGTTGTGTAGGGTTTCTTATACATCCTGGACAGTTCGGCCACACTTGTACCACTTTCATATTGTTCAATGATGGTTTTCTTAAATTCAGCCGTATTTCTCACTTTCTTTACCACAGGCTTGGCACTAGGAGCTTTCTTTGGAGCCATGGTAGCTTATTTAGTACTTGCAAGCACTAAAATAAATGGAATATTATGAAATATTTCGCTGGAGCACGTGAGGGGACCTTCGCTTACTGGTAAACAATGCCAGACTGGCTGCCGCCCCGGCTCACTCTGTGGGTATGCGTCCCGGACGAACTACGACTCGCGAGTCAGCCTATGAAAAGCAAGTCCATGTTTATACGAAAATACCCCTATGATTGGCGAAATTTACGATTGCCGGGAACTACGAAAAGCGGGGGACCACTGTATTTTATACTGTAAGGTTTAGGATAAACACTGTGTACAACACAAAGAGTTGTTTATTTCTCAGAAATTTGGCATTAAAAACACGTCGTAAGTCGAGTGGTCGTAAGTCGAGCAGGTCTTAAGTCGGATGGTAGGTGTATTTGTTTTTTAGAAAAGCAAAACATTCTCAGGTTCAAACTGCCTTGGTTATTATTCCTTCCATTACTAACAACAGTATATACGTACCTCACAGAGCCATCATTTTAGCAGCTGCCCCGGGGGAGAAGCTGCCTATGTATCCTGAGCCCACTCATACATTTTCCCCAAGAGCATGCCAATTATCTGTTGTTGTTGATAATAAAAAGGTAAGGAACTGTAAGGACAGTTGATTAATCTTACCATATGTGCTTTTTTTTTTTTATCGAACTGGGTTGTGATGAACCTTCATCACAAATCGTGGTGACTTTAGTAATTATCTCTTCATGCCAGTTTCATTTGGAAAAACATGCACATACACAATTATTTTTATTTAATTGATTTTGCCTGCCCTCTGTGAAGGGTTGTGTAATAATGTCAGGGTGCAGATGGCTATTTGAACTGATGTGTGAACACTTCTGACAAGACTGCAAACTGTTAAATAAATAAGTGTGAATGCATTTCTATTTTTTTGATTGCTGTGGTAAAAAATGAGATTCTAAAAATTTTGAGTAACAATCCTAGATTTGTTTGTGAATGGTAAATGACAGTCATTTATGAGTAATATATGCCTTTTTAGTACCTGTTTGATATGCCCTTTGTTTATCTATATGCTTCTAAACTGCTGTCAATGGGATTATTAATATTTGGTGCACCATGACAAAATTTACACATTACATGTACTGTAATCTTGCTGAGCATGGTAAAAGGACCACAAATATGCAATCCCTGTACAATTTTGCCAATAACTTCTTCGTATCTTGTCTCATTAGGTTTTTGTATTATTTCATAACAGGTGTATGTTGGAGGGAGCTGTTTGGGACCCATTTTTTGTAGCAACCATAAAAGTGAATTTATACAAAGTTGTCTGATGCAGTCTAATGAGAAAAAAGACTTGCTCTAAAATATGTTTTGTTGCAACTAAAGTATCAGTGGGAATTAGTTTGTTTTTCACAGAAATGTAAGAATAGATTTAACTTTGACAATTCAGAAAACTAATTTATCATCCGAGTGTCAGTGGCTGATTATTATTATTATTATTATTATAATCAAGGGGGAAGCGCTAAACCCGGAGGATTATACAGCGCCCGGGGGGGGGGGGGGATGTGGAAGGCATTCAGGCTTAATTCGGGGAACTGGAGCACAGATCCAATTCTCTAAATCAAGAGCCCCTCACCAACATCAAGGAACCTTCCTTGAGGGGTGTCAATGGCTGAAATAAACGGTTAAGTAGAATAAGTGAATTTTTTTTGCTATAAAAAATGTTATTTATACAAGTTATGTGAGTAGGACCTTCTGGCATGGGCCAGTAGGCCTACTTCATTGTCTTAATTTTTTTATGTTAGTAAGGGAAATTGAAGTTCAAATTTATATTTTCTCAATTTTAATAAAAGGTATTGTTTATGTAGTCATTTAGTGCATGTACAATAAGCTCATATTTTGACTCACGAAATCGTAATGACACGATTGCAAACAAACCATACCGCGGGTTCAATCCCGCCCGTGGTATGGTAAGCTCATATTTTATTGGTAAACACTTTTTATTTGATTTTTGACAAATGGGTCATTTGCTTACTCAAAACTCCTTTACAGAATATCCAGAATTTTGATTAAGCTGATTCCAACCAGTTCTTTCTTTCAACACACTGGCCATATCCCACCGAGGCGGGGTTTTACCTGGAGAGAGTTTCGGGGGTCAACGCCCCCGCGGCCCGGTCTGTGACCAGGCCTCCTGGTGGATCAGCGCCTGATCAACCAGGCTGTTGCTGCTGGCTGCACGCAAACCAACGTACGAGCCACAGCCCGGCTGATCAGGAACTGACTTTAGGTGCTTGTCCAGTGCCAGCTTGAAGACTGCCAGGGGTCTGTTGGTAAATCCCCCTTATGTGTGCATGGAGAGGCAGTTGAAAACATCTCGGTCCCCTGACACTTATTGTATGGTCTCTTAACGTGCTAGTGTACCACCCTGCTTTCTCATTCGGGGGATGGTGCATGTTTCTGCAAGTCTTTTGCTTTCGTAGTGAGTGATTTTCGTGTGCAAGTTCGGTACTAGTCCTCTAGGATTTTCCAGGTGTATATAATCATGTATCTCTCCCTCCTGCGTTCCAGGGAATACAGGTTTAGAAACCTCAAGCGCTCCCAGTAATTGAGGTGTTTTATCTCCGTTATGCGCGCCGTGAAAGTTCTCTGTACATTTTCTAGGTCGGCAATTTCACCTGCCTTGAAAGGTGCTGTTAGAGTGCAGCAATATTCCAGCCTAGATAGAACAAGTGACCTGAAGAGTGTCATCATTGGGGTGGCCCAAAAGAAAAAACAAAAGTTTCTCCTTTTACATTTAGTAATATGTACAGGAGAAGGGGTTACTAGCCCCTTGCTCCTGGCATTTTGGTCGCCTCTTACAACACGCATGGCTTACGGAGGAAGAATTCTCTTCCACTTCCCCATGGAGATAAGAGGAAATAAACAAGAACAAGAACTAGAAAGAAAATAGAAGAATACCCAGAGGGGTGTGTATATATATGCTTGTGCATGTATGTGTAGTGTGACCTAAGTGTAAGAAGAAGTAGCAAGATGTACCTGAAATCTTGCATGTTTATGAGAAAGGAAAAAGACACCAGCAATCCTACCATCATGTAAAACAATTGCAGGTTTCTGTTTTACACTCACTTGGCTGGACGGTAGTACCTCCCTGGGCGGTTGCTGTTTACCAACCTACTACCTACATTCCAACCAGTTATTAACTAGAAAACACTATATTTATACGGAATTTGACCCCCTTCTGGAATCCCAGAAGGGGGTTGAAATATACGGATCAATCAACCTCCTGTGTTTCTGTCTCTGTGTGAGTTATTATTGAGCATTGACAAGTGTTTATTACATGCTTGTTATTCATTTATGTTTAAATTTTTGCAGTATGTCAGTAATTGTCAGTGGGTGGTGTCTGCTCCTCTCCGTACTATAACGGTGAGAGACACCATGTCAGACCTCCCAGAAATACGTAATGGACACAGGAAAGAAGAAATGAACTATGGCACAGAACCTGAATCACATTTTCAACGACTGGTTAGTGAGGACTTTTGTGTTTTTTCCAGAAATTTAAATGCTTTGAATAACAGTCACCCCAAAAAAATAAAAACTCCAATTATTGATTTCACTTAATCTGTATGTAAATCTTTATGGAAGAAAGGACACATGTGAGACCTCTACCCACTCTACCTGAGGTATCCCAGCGAGTGAGCACGTCTCCTGTGTATCCCAGTGCTTAACAGAATAGGGAATAGCATATGGAGGTACAAAATAAAAAAATGGGAACTATGGCTATAGTTTACTTAATAACATAAAAGGGCTAGAATACCACATTACTGATGGACATTTACATAATATAACAATTGACCTATGAGACTTATTACCAGGGGGAAGGGTAGATGTTATCAGTAACATGGACTAGTACTCACTCTTAATTCACCGACCAGCTGACCCGAGATTCCCAATGCGTGGTCCACTACACACGCAGCTGTCCAGAGCTCCTGCTCCCCGGACCTGTCACCAACAACCTCCTTGCTCAGCTGTTCCCTGGGCTTATATTGTAGTCAAAGTACCCCCTCCCCAATGGGATATGTACCACGTGTTACGACCTGAACAAAAGACCTCAGACGTGGGCGTGACTACCCGACATTTGCTAAGGCAGGTGTGACCATATAATTAGGTCTCCCTAGAGACCTCACAAGCCCATCTGAACTGCATCACATCCCCCTTTCTCCCCCAATTTAAAATATCTGAGAACTAGGACAATTTGTCCTAAGTTATTAGACTATTTTAATCCTAACCCTTTTATTCTATTACAATACAATAGCAAATAATATGAATAAAAGGTTAGGATTAAAATAGTCCAATAACTTAGGACAAATTGTCCTAGTTCTCAGATATTTTAAATTGGGGGAGAAAGGGGGATGTGATGCAGTTCAGATGGGCTTGTGAGGTCTCTAGGGAGACCTAATTATATGGTCACACCTGCCTTAGCAAATGTCGGGTAGTCACACCCACATCTGAGGTCTTTTGTTCTTGACGGCGTCAGACCTCGGCGTCAGGTCGTAACACGTGGTACATACCCCATTGGGGAGGGGGTACTTTGACTACGATATAAGCCCAGGAAACAGCTGAGCAAGGAGGTTGTTGGTGACAGGTCCGGGGAGCGGGAGCTCTGGACAGCTGCGTGTGTAGTGGACCACGCATTGGAAATCTCGGGTCAGCTGGTCGGTGAATTAAGAGTGAGTACTAGTCCATGTTACTGATAACATCTACCTTTCCCCCTGGTAATAAGTCTCAAAGGTCAATTGTTATATTATGTAAATGTCCATCAGTATATGTGGTATCCTAGCCCTTTTATGTTATTAAGTAAACTATAGCCATAGTTCCCATTGTAATGGTTCTTTCTCTGAGAGAATGGCTAGTGTATTTTTGACTACTTGGTTTGATCTCTCCACCATACCATTCGCCTGTGGATGATAAGCTGTCGTGAATGCTGTCATTATTTCTAAGGTGTTACAACAAACCTCTGCAAATACCTTGCTTTTAAACTCTGAACCTTGATCTGTTACTAATTCTCTAGGAGGTCCAAATATTGCTACGAATCTATCAAGGAGCGCCTCTGCAACAGTCTGTGGGTCTTTCTTAGGGATGGGTACAAGTGTTGTATATCGTGACAGATGGTCCACCAGCACAAGAACATACCTATTGCCTGAATAACTATTATGTAAGTCGATAAGATCTGCACCAACCCGGTCCAACGGCTCCTTAATCTCGGGAAAAGCTTGCAATTCCACATTAACCTGAGGGTTACCGTTCCTCCTTTGGCAATTACCACAACATTTCACATATTCGGTTACATAATTCAGGAGACCAGGAAAGTAGAACATTTCTTTGGCCCTCTTATAAGTCCTAAAACACCTGGATGGCCAGCCATCTTGGATGAGTGTGCAAGCTTCAGAGCGGCCTTCCTGAGGATATTGGGTATTACTACCTGCTGTACTGAACGATCGTTCAGCTCCGTAATCCTATGTAGCACACCGTCTTTCATCTCGAATTCATCAATAGGGCGGCTTGGCTTGTGGCACGGGAGCTTCTCTCCCTCCAAATACTCAATTATCTCCTTCCACCTGTTCTCTTCCAGTTAGTACTCTCTTAATTTTTCATTGTTCACATTCTCAATATTAACATCAACATTTATTGCTGCTACATTCCTACTCAATACGTCTGGTACATGGTGTGAGGCTCCTGGTTTATAAAGAATCTGGTGCGAGTGTGCTGACAGTTCGTAACCCCATCTAGACATCCTAGGACAGCGAGTTTTCTTTTTAAATATGTGCACCAAAGCCCTGTGATCTGTTATTATTTTAAAATGGCGCTGAAATACATACGGTTCAAAGTATCTCACACTTTCTACCACTGCCAAGGCTTCTTTATCAGTGATGGCATACCTGACTTCCGGTCCTTTAATCTTTCTGCTAAAATACGCTACTGGGTGTGGGTTATTTTCCTTGTCTCTTTGCATAAGGCAACCTCCTATTGCAACTGCTGAAGCGTCTGTATGTATCTCAAACTCTCTGGAAAAATCAGGGACCACTAATACCGGCTCACTTGTAAGCTCAGCCTTTAATTTTTTGTGAGCCAACTCATGTTCTTCTTTCCATACAAACTTAGCTTTCTTCTTAGTTAGATCTGTCAGTGGTGCTGCTAGCTCTGCAAAACCCTTAATATGTCTTCTAAAGTATCCTGCTGCACCTAGGAACCTCCTGACTTCCCTTGCTGTTCTAGGTCTTGGCATTTCAGATATTGCCTTACACTTATCAGGGTCAGGGCGAATTCCTTCAGGGCTCACCTGAAAGCCTAAAAATTTAAAGCTAGTGGCTGCTATTATACATTTCTTTGCATTCAACTTAAATCCTGCTTTATCCAGTAGTTTTAGTGTCTCCACAAGGTTGTCTACATGTTCTGGAAATGACCGGGAGTAGACTACCACATCATCAAGATATGCCAGTGAGTGTCTACCCAACACAGGGCTGAGGATGAAGTTTATAGCTCTTTGGAAGCTAGAGGGCGCGGTTTTTAACCCGTAGGGCATTCGTTTAAATTGGTATAATCGGACCCCATCTGAGAATGCTGTCTTCTCTCTATCTTCTTCTGAAACGGGGATGGCCCAATAAGCTGACTTAGCGTCCAAAGTCGAAAAATACTTAGCTGTTCCAAATGAATCAAGAATTTCCTGGATTAGGGGCAAGGGATAACTATCAGCTATTGTTAATTCATTCACTTTCCTATAATCTACACAGAACCGATAAGAGTTATCTGGTTTCTTTACCAACACTACAGGTGAGAGCCACGGTGATGAACTCGGTTCAATTACATCGTTCTGGAGCATGGTATTACATTCCTCCCTTATTACTCTCTTAGCCTCTTCTGGGAGTCTCCACTGATGGGTTTGGACAGGTAAACTGTCACCTGTAGATATAGTATGCTCAGTCTGGGGCAGGAAGCCTGTCTCTCCTTCATCCATTGAAAACAACTTTGGAAAGTTCCTTAAAGCATTCTTTATTATTTCCTTCTCAGAACTTTTTAAATGATTTAGATTTACATCATTAAATGTCTTTTCCCTTTTACTTTCGTTCTGGGTGGGAGCGGCAGGTGTCACTACCCTTTCTGGGACTCTGGTATTAAGTGCTCCACATTGTTGACCTCGGGCAGGTAGCTTAACGGGGTCAGGTGCACCACATTGTTGACCTCGGCCAGGTAGCTTAACTGAGTCAGGTTCAAAAATTAAGTCTTTGGGGATAATCTCAGCTGATGTTAACCTTCTACCATTCTTGAATCTTAATGCTTTACTTGTCAGATTTATCACTGGTATTAAGATATGTCTTTTCTCAGAAACCTGGGCTAGATGATGAGGCACCAGGAAGGATTCTAGCTTCCCTGCTAATTGTAAGATACTTCCTGGCTCGACCTTCCTTCCCACTGAACCTTTAATAAATTTGAATGTATTAGGTGGACATACCTGGTTATATAATACATGAACTGCATAATCTGCGTCTGCAGAGTTCACATTAGGTAACTGCGCTTCAAAAAGTGATTTAGATGGGGTTTTGAATAATTTATTACTCCTACTCATAGAAGCTACTAGTGAGGGATGTTCTATGAATTTTATTGGAAAGGAAACTTCATCCAGTATCAGCCGACTGGTTCCCCTTCCTCACAAGCCCATCTGAACTGCATCACACACAAGTGCATATGTTATACTTGAAACATCTCCATTGAATACATTTTTGTCCTTGGATGTTGGTCACTGCAGATGATCAAGGTTCCAGAACCGAAACATATCTAATAAAGATGTGCTAAGTGTATGCACATGTGTCTTTTCATATTGTCAGTATTATGATATCTTCGGTTAAGCTGAAGAGAGAAAAAATGGCTGTTTTATGGTCTTTTTTTTTCACTACTGTACCCATCAAGGGAGTTTCTTTGGATGTTGGTAAAGAGTTCTTGGTCAAGAAATTGGAGCTGCCTTTTCCTGTGGATCAAACCAGATTACCCCCCAGGCTATATGTGAATCCTATGGCTCTAGTGCTTCAAATTCAGTGTAATAATAAATAGTAATTGAAAATGGAATTTCATTGCATTTTGTGTTTTTAAGACACCTTGTCATGTTGGCTTCATGTTTCACTAGACAACTGATCAGATATCATCATTGCTGTTTAACAAAAGTGTATCATCAATGTTAATTGTATAAAGTGTAAATCATGGTCAGTGCTCAACAAATTGTTCTCATTTTCTTTTCATTTTAAGATCCGAGGTAAACAGTATCAGCCATTATTGAGGGACCACATATGTAAAGAAATGGCTCCATTGATTGAGGCACGTATACGACACATCCCTACTGCTCCTGGATCAGACTGGCGTGACCTACCTAATATTGTTATTCGTTTCCCAGATGGCAAAGAATCCAAGAAACTGTAAGTAATATTTTTTTTTATTAACACATCGGCCGATTCCCAACAAGGCAGGGTGGCCCAAAAAAGTAGAACTTTCATCTTCATTCACTCGATAACTGTCTTGCCAAAGGTGTGCTTACACTACAGTTATAAAACTACAACATTCCCATCTCCAGGACTCAAGTCCGGCCTGCCAATTTCCCTGAATCCCTTCATAAATGTTGCTTTTTTCACATTCCAACAGAACGTCAAGTATTAAAAACCATTTGTCTCCATTCACTCCAATCATATATGCTCACGCATGCTTGCTGGAAGCCCAAGCTACTTGCACACAGTACTTCCTGTACCCCCTCCTCCAACTTTTCCTAGGCAGACACCTACCCTGCCTTCCCTCCACTACAGATTTATGCATTCTTGAAGTCATTCTATTTTGTTCCACCCTCTCTACATGTCCGAACTGCCTCAACAACCCCTCCTCAACCCTCTGGGTAATAGTTTTGGTAATCCTGCACCTCCTCCTAATTTCCAAACTACGAATTCTCTGCATTATATTCACACTACACATTGCCCTCAGACATGACATCTCCACTGCCTCCAGCCTTCTCCTCGTTACAGCATTCACCACCCAGCTATTTACATCAAGTTACTTTGAGCTGTTCTGAAGTATGTAGCATTAACTAATAAAGATAATTTGTAAGTAGGCTTTGGGCACAAAAAAATTATTATTTAAGCTAACCATGAGTATTTCAGTGATCTATAAAATATGTTTTGAAGTATGATCAAATTCACAATGAGAAAATGATAGATTGCCTCGGTTTTATGCTCTAGAAGCATTCCAGGTCCATGACTGCTGTACAAACCTTAATCAGGCCATAAGCCATTAACCTTACATATAAGAATCTTCCAACAAGAATGCATGAACATGTTAAATAGGAGCAAATGGAGACAAGTGGTTTTTAGGACTTTATGTGCTGTTAGAGTGTGAGCAAAGTAACATTTATGAGAGGAGTTAGGGAAACCAGCAGGCCGGACTTGAGTCCTGGAGATGGGAATGTTGTAGTTTTATAACTATAGTGTAAGCACACCTCTGGCAAGACAGTGATGGAGTGAATGATGATGAAAGTTTTTCTTTTTCGGGCCTCCCTGCCTTGATGGGAGATGGCCAATGTGTTAATAAAAAAAATAAGAAGAATCTTCAGTACTTTGTGTACTGAACCAAATCACACATACGAGTGAGTGTAGTACTTAGAGAATTGCCAATAAAGTAGGATATCACATAGTGAATTTGCACAAAGCAAACCCTTGTAAAGTGAAGGAAATATGCTGTCTTGATTATTTAACAAAGTTTGAAGTGATATTTCCAGTCATAGTAAATGCACTTTAGAATAACATAGTACCTGTAGTTATCAGGTGGTTATCATCTTGCACTAAATACCAGACCCCATTTATTGTATGACTGTAAGACAGGGAAATGGTTGGTGTACTAAAGTGTGTCTATTATATATAATAACTCTTGCTGATGTGTTCATCTTTACTATTGTATAGGGAGTACACTCATCCAGACAAGAAACAAGGTAGATCTTCAACTGGAGCACTTCGTGGTGTTTGCTCTTGTGCTGCTGGTAATGCATGTGATCCTATGGATAAGCAGTTCAACACACTCATTCCCTGGTGCCTACCTCACACTGGCAATCGTCACAATCATTGGGCTGGCCTCTATGGCAGACTTGAATGGGATGGATTTTTCTCCACTACAGTCACAAACCCTGAGCCTATGGGAAAACAGGTAAATTATTATTAAATTTTTTTGTTCTTTTGGATTACCAGTTTTTCTTTGAGAATTTGCAAGTTTTACCTGGGTGGAGCAGTTGGATGGCCCTTTACATCTTTGATGACTCATGTCAGTGCTCATAATGCATATTTGCTCCGTGACTTGTGAAATCATAATAACATGATTACAAACAAATCATGGAACAAATGAAGCTGGAACCCATTAAAGACATGTCCTGCAACTCGTGTCCTGCCAATGCTCCAACCACAAATATACCTAGTTGGATGAATCGTATTAGAGCATTGGCTTGTAAGTTCAGGACTTGCCTGTTCAAGCTGTACCCATTCTCTGATTGATTATAGGTAACACAGCTGGCACTGTTAAATACATGGATCATTGCAACTAATAAAACATTTTTTGTCATTGTATTTTACTTAGAGGCAAAGAAGGAAATGTACATGAGTATAATGATACCAACACACTTATATGGGCATGAAGCATGGGTTGTAAATACTGCAGCAAGGAGGAGGCTGGAGGCACTGGAGATGTCATGTCTAAAGGCAATATGTGGTGTAACTATTATGCAGAGAATTCTTAGTATGGATATTAGGAGGTGTGGGGTTACTAAAAGTATTATTCAGAGGGCTGAAGAGGGGTTGTTGAGGTGGTTTGGTCATTTAGAAAGGACGGAGCAAAATAGAATGACTTGTAGGGTGTATAAATCTGTAATGGAGGGAAGGCAGGGGTAGGGGTCGTCCCCAAAAAGATTGTAGGGAGGGGTAAAGGAGGTTTTGTGGGCAAGGGGCTTGGACTTCCAGCAAGCATGCGTGAGCATGTTAGATAGGAGTGAATGGAGACAAATGATTTTTGGGACCTGACAGACTGTTGAAGTGTGAGCAGGGCAATATTTTGTGAAGGGATTCGGGGAAACCGGTTAGCTGAACTTGAGTCCTGGAAATGGGAAGTACAATGCCTGCACTTTAAAGGAGGGGTTTGGGATATTGCCAGTTTGAAGGGACGTCTAAGCTGTCGTATCTGAGCGTCTCTGCAAAGACAGTGATTATGTATGATTGATGGTGAAAGTGTTGAATGATGAAATTTTTTTCTTTCTTTTTGGTTCACCCTGCCTCGGTGGGAAACGGCCTACGTGTTAAAAAAAAAAATTAGCTTTTTAATGCGGTATATATTTTGTTTCCTTTTTCAGGTGCTGTGTAACCTTTATAGGCTTAGTGCTTACCCTAGATTATAATATTTTTCATTTTCCACATCTGATGAATGTCTTTAAGATTACCACTGCAAGTTTAGTCTTTTGATACCATAGGACAGTGTTGAAACACCAGTAGTAGGAAAAAATTGCATGCAAATATTTTTTAAGATTTTTTTGTCTTCATAGTAGTAAAAAAAATAAACTAAACATTGCTAGGAAATACGGTGTAAGTTGGATGTTATTTTTATTATAATTTGATTAAGAGTACAGTAGTACTAATACTGTTGCAGTCATGAATATGCACAATATTTTGGCCATGACTAATGCTAATACAGTAACTTTCATTTTAAGCTTATACAATTTTTTTTTTTTTATAGACAGTAATGTGGGCTAGTGCAAAGATGAGTAGTGGGGAGGTTGAAGAGGGTTGGATGAGTATTAAAAATGCAGTATTAGAATGTGGGGCAGAAGTTTGTGGTTATAGAAGGGTGGGGGTAGGAGGAAAGAGAAGTGATTGGTGGTGTGATAAAAGAGAAAAAGTTAGCTTATGAGAGGTTTTTACAAAGCAGAAGTGTAATAAGAAGAGCAGAGTATATGGAGAGTAAAAGAAAGGTGAAGAGAGAGGTGAGAGAGTGCAAAAGGAGAGCAGATGATAGAGTGGGAGAGGCACTGTCAAGAAATTTTACTGAAAATAAAAAAAAAATTTGGAGTGAGTTAAACAAGCTAAGAAAGATTAGGGAACGTATGGATTTGTCAGTTAAAAACAGAGTAGGGGAGTTAGTAGATGGGGAGAGGGAGGTATTAGGTAGATGGCAAGAATATTTTGAGGAATTTTAAATGTTGAGGAAGAAAGGTAGGCAGTAATTTCATGCACTTGCCAGGGAGGTATACCATCTTTTAGGAGTGAAGAAGAGCAGAATGTAAGTGTGGGGGAGGTACGTGAGGCATTACGTAGAATGAAAGGGGGTAAAGCAGCTGGAACTGATGGGGTCATGACAGAAGTGTTAAAAGCAGGGGGGGATATAGTGTTGGAGTGGTTGGTACTTTTGTTTAATAAATGTATGAAAGAGGGGAAGGTACCTAGGGATTGACAGAGAGCATGTATAGTCCCTTTATATAAAGGGAAGGGAGACAAAAGAGATTGTAAAAATTATAGAGGAATAAGTTTATTGAGTATACCAGGAAAAGCGTACGGTAGGGTTATTATTGAAAGAATTAGAGGTAAGACAGAATGTAGGATTGCGGATGAGCAAGGAGGTTTCAGAGTGGGTAGGGGATGTGTAGATCAAGCGTTTACATTGAAGCATATATGTGAACAGTATTTAGATAAAGGTAGGGAAGTTTTTATTGCATTTATGGATTTAGAAAAGGCATATGATAGAGTGGATAGGGGAGCAATGTGGCAGATGTTGCAAGTATATGGAATAGGTGGTAAGTTACTAAATGCTGTAAAGAGTTTTTATGAGGATAGTGAGGCTCAGGTTAGGGTGTGTAGAAGAGAGGGAGACTATTTCCTGGTAAAAGTAGGTCCTAGACAGGGATGTGTAATGTCACCATGGTTGTTTAATATGTTTATAGATGGGGTTGTAAAAGTAGTAAATGCTAGGGTGTTCGGGAGAGGGGTGGGATTAAATTATGGGGAATCAAATGCAAAATGGAAATTGACACAGTTACTTTTTGCTGATGATACTGTGCTTATGGAAGATTCTAAAGAAAAATTGCAAAGGTTAGTAGATGAGTTTGGGAATGTGTGTAAAGGTAGAAAGTTGAAAGTGAACATAGAAAAGAGTAAGGTGATGAGGGTATCGAATGATTTAGATAAAGAAAAATTGGATATCAAATTGTGGAGGAGTATGGAAGAAGTGATTGTTTTCAGATACTTGGGAGTTGAAGTGTCGGCGGATGGATTTATGAAGGATGAGGTTAATCATAGAATTGATGAAGGAAAAAAGGTGAGTGGTGCGTTGAGGTATATGTGGAGTCCAAAAACGTTATCTGTGGAGGCAAAGAAGGGAATGTATGAAAGTATAGTAATACTAACACTCTTATATGGGTGTGAAGCTTGGGTTGTGAATGCAGCAGCGAGGAGGCAGTTGGAGGCAGTGGAGATGTCCTGTCTAAGGGCAATGTGTGGTGTGAATATTATGCAGAAAATTCGGAGTGTGGAAATTAGGAGAAGGTGTGGAGTTAATAAAAGTATTAGTCAGAGGGCTGAAGAGGGGTTGTTGAGGTGGTTTGGTCATTTAGAGAGAATGGATCAAAGTAGAATGACATGGAGAGCATTTAAATCTGTAGGAGAAGGAAGGTGGGGTAGGGGTCGTCTTTGAAAAGGTTGGAAAGAAGTGGTAAGGGAGGTTTTGTGGGCGAGGGGCTTGGACTTCCAGCAGGTGTGCATGAGCGTGTTCGATAGGAGTGAATGAAGACGAATGGTATTTGGGACCTGACGATCTGTTGGAATGTGAGCAGGGTAATATTTAGTGAAGGGATTCAGGGAAACCGGTTATTTTTATATAGCCGGACTTGAGTCCTGGAAATGGGAAGTACAATGCCCGCACTCTAAAGGAGGGGGTCTTGGGATATTAGCAGTTTGGAGGGATATGTTGTGTATCTTTATACGTATATGCTTCTAAACTGTTGTGTTCTGAGCACCTCTGCAAAAACAGTGATTATGTGTGAGTGAGGTGAATGTGTTGAATGATGATGAAAGTATTTTCTTTTTGGGGATTTTCTTTCTTTTTGGGTCACCCTGCCTCGGTGGGAGACGGCCGACTTGTTGAAAAAAAAAAATGAATGGTTGTGAATTTTTCTTCTTCTTTGGGTTACCTCTGTCTTGGCAAGAGATGACCATTTAAGTTGCCTCTCTATAACATGCATGACTTACAGAGGAAGAATTCTTATAAGGATACCTAGGATAATTATTAAACATGACATTGGTAGTGAGATGCTAAGAGTGCTATCCCTTCAAAGGAGTACCTTGATTCTGGTGAAGTGCTCTTGATCCAAGGAATGGAAGTTTTTTCTTTCCTCATTACCTCACATTTTCCAGGAGTTGTATGACTTTGAGTTAAGTCCTTCTCATGGCCATGAATATAATTATAATTCTATGATAATGCAAGAAAATGCAGGGCATGTCAATAGTACATGCTGTGATGCAGTTGGAATTTATGTAAGCAATGTAATAATTGATTTTTCAATAACATTGTCGAGTTTATGTCCATAGATTATGTTGTTGAAATATGTAGATTTCTATCAATGCTCAGTAATAACCCACATGGAGACAAACTCAGGAGATTAATTGGTCTATATTTCAACCCCCCTCTGGGATCCACTACTGCTGAAGAGGATCCCAGAAGGGGATCGAAATATACAGATCAATTAATCTCCTCAGTTTGTCTCCACATGGGTTATTACTAAGCATCAACAAGTGTTCATTACACTTTATTCATTTCTATCAGTGTATAAAGCATATATACTTATTGCAGAAAGAATATAAATCTGAAGTGTATGGAAACTGTAAAGGATGTCTCAGGCAATGGTACTGGTGCAAGTCATGTTCACAGGGATTGGCACTACTCCTTCCCTTCCTTGATCATACCTAATCCCTAGGTGCTTTGCGATCCTTACAGAATTAGTGCTTCCCATTAATATACCGCAATTATGATAATCTAGGAAAGGATGGAAGGAGGCTGTTATGGTTTTGAGTTGTGAGGGGTTTCGGTAGCCTGCAGGCATATGTGTACATGTTACATTGCAGTAAATTAATTTATTCGTTTAAATTTGACATGTTGGAGTGGGAGCAAGGTAATATTTATGAAGAGATTCAGGAAAACTGGTTAGTCAAACCTAAGTTCTAGAGGTGGGAAATACTGTATAGTGACTGCACCCGTAAGGAATGAGAATATTACAGTTAAGAGGATCATTTGTGATGTGATATCTGTGAACTTATCGAAAGAATGAGTGATGGTGATTTTTTTTTTCCTTTGGGTCGCCTATCTTGATGGGAAAAAGAGCCACTTTATTTAATAGCTTTGTTTTTTTGTTGTTGTAGAATACACATATATTTCAAGTTAGTGTATAAGCCAAATTTTTATTATAAATTTTTTTTTATCATAGCCTAGCCTAGGTAGCCTAGTGTGGTTTGGCTTTATTTTACTTATGTTGCTTCTTTAGTTGTGACTTGTGGTGCCTTCTTTAGGTGGGTAAAAAAAAATGCTCATAATAAAATTTATTCTCGCATTCTTTAGGGACGTGTCTTACATCCAGAACAAACGAGGGTAGTAAGTGTACGGGAATGTGCAAGATCTCAAGGCTTCCCAGATACATATCGTTTCTATGGATCAATTTTGGATAAATATAGGCAGGTATGTTGGCAATGCAATGATACCTACATAGTTTTTGTGATACTTTGTTTTATTCTCACTTTTTCCAACAAATAATTTTTGGTGTACAGGAAATGGAAAATATTTTTGAATATTTGAATTAATTAGTAGCTATAATTAGCATAATTTGTGAAGGATCATGTTCTATAAAGAGAAGTAAATCTTTTCTTCTTTTTTTTTTTTTCTTTTTTTTCAGATTGGAAATGCAGTGCCCCCACCTATGGCACGTGCAATAGGACTGGAGATTCTAAAATGCTTGCAAATAAAGGAAAAGAATGAAGTTGCTAGGTTTGAAGTGCAAAAGTAGATGTAGGCTAACACTGTAAAGTCAGTGGAAAATTTTAATGTACAGTTTGGTACTGTATTCATAAATCGTATAAATTTTTTAGCAGAATTATATCAAATTTTAATTTTTATGTAGAAACAAGTTTATGAAAGTGTGTTTATATATTTTAACTTTTGATACCTTTTTAAATTACAATTTTAATAAAGCATATCAAGAGTGTAATAAAATGTAACTAAAGTGCCACTGTTCATTCACATTTCATTATTTATTGAAGATAATATTTATGTAAATTTATCATGAGGAACGTCTCCATTTTTTCTGTCAAGCTAAATTTGATCCATGTTTTCATTAACTATTTGCTCCATTACATACAGTAAACTCAGCAGTAGTCTGACCAGTCACATACCAGACCACAAATTGGCCAACTGAGGATAGAGCTTTGCTTCTTGCATTGAATGACCCACTTGGGTTTAGTGCTTCGTGGCATACAATACAGACTAGCTTAGAGTATGTTTAGGACTTGGTAGACTCAAAGTGTACAAAGTGATAATGAGTTTAACAATGTTAAAGACTTGATATTTGTATTCCAGGACTTGAGTCCTGGAGGTGAGAGATACAATGCCTGCACTCTGAAGGAGGGGTGAGGATATTGCAGTTTGGAGGGGCATCTGAACTGTGGTATCAACATGAATGAGGGATGCTGAATGTGTTTCCTGTTATTTGCATTACCCTACTTTAGTGGAAGAAGGCAGGTGTGTCAAAAAAAAAAAAATACAATATAGCTGATAGGATACCTGAATGAAGTGTGCTCGTTATTCTCTTCGTGCATTTTTTCACAGCTTCACTCTACCCTGTTATACTAAATGATCCTTACAGATTTAATGCATTTTTGTGAATATAGTAGTAATATAAGATGTCAAATGCCATTTTTATGTTTAACACTGCTAAGTGTGGTAAAACACACACATGAATTCTAATTGTACAATGTTTTGCTTAAACATAAGCTGTTTCGGATCTTGGAGAAGAAGATGCAGGTACCGTAAGTAGAATTTATATACGTATTTCATCACAGTGGGTGAAGACCTCTACCGGTCAGTGTTGTTCAATGTTTTCAGTTCCTCTGTTACCTGCAGAATTCTACACAATCCTTGCTGATTTATTGTGGCAGCCAGCTAAGGTGGGTGTCTACTCTTACTCTTAGTGTTCTTAGCTGTTTCTTACCCAATATGTTTTTATTCACCCTGTTTTGAAGGAATTTGCCACTAACTAGGGAGAAAAGAGAGGTTGCACCATCTACCCTTTATTTGGAGTGATTAACAGTGTATTAATATACTCTGTGCTCTACTAGTGTTCAGACCATATGGGAGTGTAAGCATTGGAGCTGTGGAACTATTAGTGCCCGAAGGATGGTGTTTTAAAACTTATGTAAATGATGAATGGCAAGCACAATGTTCCGTGAATCATGTAAAAAGGGAAATATCTTGCAA